CCTGCGGCCCTAAGATGTGTTCTTAGGTAGGCCCCACGGTTTTGTACTATAGTGATTTTATGGTAATATTGGGACACACTGAGCCTAGCTCACTTTTCGAAAATGTTTTCCCCTTTCAGATACTGTTGGTTAGATACCCTGGATTGAGCACTTGGAGGATCAACATATCTCTTGAAGTATATCTGATTGTAATGTTTTTACCTTGCAAGTTGACTTTATTTTGTTGACATGTACCTTATTTTAAAGTATGTGATTTTAATATGATGACATTTTTACTATTACTATTCGGTTTATCGTGATTTGATTTTTTAGATATGTTTTAAATTAATTTATTACTTATTGGTATTATATTTACAAGTTAGGTTTTGATAGTATGATTTATTATAATTTCATGTCATTTATAATGTGATTTTACATTGTTTGAATAACAGTTTCGGAAAAATGTCTTAAAGAATCATAATGTGATCCACTAGACTTAGTCGAAACGCATAGGCCGGGTCTAAGGGGTTACAATAAATAATCCAGACGATCATTTTATAATTTTAAATAATCGATACCTACCCGATTTTGAAATATAAATTCTAAAATAAGCATATTAATGTAATTTTTATGCCTAATTATTCTCAGCGTGTTGTCGTTTACTTGTCTTTTTTTTTTTTAACAATGGTTAAATTTGAAACTACATTTAACCGCTTCTTAAGAGAACAGATCCACCACGCAAATGTTCTGCGAACAAATATCACACTGCAATTATTTTACCACAGTGACATGTGTACAAGGGGAAGTCGTACAGTTAGTAACATATCTAAAAATATTTTCATAATAAACATATATGTATCAATAATAAAAAAAGCAATACGAAATAAATAAAAATAAAATTTCAGAATAGGTACATTTAATAAAATAAATAACTAATATAAATAAATTTTAATTTAAAGATAGATAAAGATAAAATTTTAAGATAAATATCTTTAATAAAATAAACAATTAATATTAAAAAAATGAACACATGCTCTACTCTTCACGTTTTGTTTTTTCCTTCAGATTTTCATCTCCTACTCATGAGTTTTACACGAAAGATCCGCTGTGCTCCTCTAGCTTTTCACGAGCCCGCTTTATATTGGGTGAAGACGAAAAAAAAATACGAAGTAGAAACGATAACGTAATAAAAACAGTATATAGATATATTAAAATTATTTGATTAAATAAAAATATACAAACATGATACGAATAATCAAATTTACGTAGATCAAACAAGGTTGGCAAATTCCCACCGATCTGTCTCGTGGAGGCATCGCTATCATAGACAGAATTAATGGTAGAAATCCACCATGCAAATGTTCTGCAAACAAACATCACACGTTAATGAATATATGGTGCTAGCTTATTAATCTAATCATTTTTTATACCTAATAACTTTTTTGTCTTAATTTTTTTGGTATTTAATAATTAAGTATTCTGATTGAACGATAACTTCACCCTTTATCATATGGTTTATATTTGTCGTAAGCACAAATCAAACGATCTTAAAGGTTAAGTGATACACTGTTATCTTCTAAAATCTTAGATTCAAACACGACGTATGCAGAAACAACACGTGAATTGTTTTAAATATTTACTACATTATATTCGCTCCAAATTTATGTAAAAAGAATGTGTCGTGACCAATATGTTCTAATAGTATATTTTAACAATTATAATGATCATGACTAAGCCTGAAAGCTTAAATTATTTTATTAAGATGTGATAATGAGAATTTATAATATATTAACTATGTAAATCATGTTTTCAAGTTGTAAGAAACTTGATTCGGTATGACAAATTGTTAGATTTGTTAAGTTTAAACTTGACCCAAGATGAAAATTAAATAAAATGAAAATTTGTAAATAAAGTGAGAGTGAAATTGAATATTTTTAAACTATAGTGATTTAAATAAGAGTAAGAGTAAAATTGAGTGGTAAAAACTTGTAATTTATCCCAATAATTAACTAAAGGCAGCCTCCTCATCCCCACGTGGCAGATAGATAGCTTTATTAAATGAAATCCTAACGGGTGCCACGTAATAGAACGAAGACCCAATGCTTGGGTTGCATGTGTGGGATTTCATTGGTAGGAGAAAGAGATAAAATAAGTGCGCTGACGTGGGACGTAGCTACTGGAAAGAGGACCCCCCAAAAAAAGGTAAGTGGCGTGGTGAAATTAGAGATTGAGTGATGGTCTAATCAAACCCCTAATATGTGACCAGAGGTAGGTATACGGGTTGCCGCCCGTTTAACCCGTGAGTTTTGACGGAGCGGGTTTAAATGGAGCGGACTAATAAATCTGTATTCATAAACGGTTTTAAATTTTAAGGCCCGCGACCCGTCTATTTAACCCGCGAGCTAAACGGGCTTACCCGCTGCCCGTTTAATAAAAATAATTTTAAATGTTTTAAATGAATTAAAAAAATAATGTTTTAACTTACTACACCTTTAAAAATGATCGAGCAATTTAAAAAAGATGGTAGCACCGTCAAAATAATAAATAATATTTAATTTTTATTTTAAATAGCCGTAAATGATTATAAAATAATATTTTTTTAATCATTAATATAAATATATATATAATGATATAATTACTTAAACTCAAATTAAAAAACAATATTCACTTATATCACCAAATTGAAAAATAAATAAAACAATAACCACATTACACTTTTATAAAACACGATTATTCAAGGCTATAATATGAAGGCACAGAAGTGTATGAATTATGAAAGCAGAAATTCAAATATAAAAATTCAACAAAGTCAAACATTATACAAATCTAACAAGAAAGTTGTTAAGTGATCCTAATAATTGTATTTTATAGATACTTTAGAGAAAGACTAAAACATAATATGAAAATATAAAATAAAATACTTACAATATAAGAGTAAATTTAAAAGATACAGATATACTAAAATTGATAAAATATAAGTCATTAATTTGTTAAAATATATTTATTTTGTAAAAGTCTTTAAAAGTTGAAAAATATATTTTCATTTTTTTTCTTTTACTTTTTTCTTATTTTTAATCCAAATTACGTGTCATGTGATATATTATTAGAATATCACTTCGGTATGATAAATTGTTAGATTGTTAAGTTTAAACTTGACCCAAGATGAAAATTAAATAAAATGAAAATTTGTAAATAAAGTGAGAGTGAAATTGAATATTTTTAAACTATAGTGATTTAAATAAGAGTAAGAGTAAAATTGAGTGGTAAAAACTTGTAATTTATCCCAATAATTAACTAAAGGCAGCCTCCTCATCCCCACGTGGCAGATAGATAGCTTTAATAAATGAAATCCTAACGGGTGCCACGTAATAGAACGAAGACCCAATGCTTGGGTTGCACGTGTGGGAATTTCATTGGTAGGAGAAAGAGATAAAATAAGTGCGCTGACGTGGGACGTAGCTACTGGAAAGAGGACCCCCAAAAAAAAGGTAAGTGGGGTGGTGAAATTAGAGATTGAGTGATGGTCCGACAAACCCCTAATATGTGACATTGCCTTGACTAAAGTGCCCTCCTGATTTTCACCACCGCTTCCCCCCTTATTTACGGTTTTTGCCACCGTCGCCAGCAATCATAAGCTCGGCCTTTTCACATCATTGTCCCTCTATCTTTCATTTTGTTTCTAAGCACCCATTATGTACCTAAATCTTATCCTTCAAATCTTATCCCATGTGAATTATATATACTCCTTTTATTTTTTCAAGTCATAACTAAATTAGTTTTCCTTTTATTTTAAATTACAATTAAATTTAAAATTTTAAATTAAAATAAATAATTTAAATGTTAAGGTGGAATAATTTGAAAAAAATAGAGATTTAAAACATTTTGATGAAATAATTTTAGAATTATAAATGAAAAATATATAAAATAAAAAAAAAGAACCGGATTAGTTGGTATCCGATTAAGGGTAATTTTGTGACCCGAGTTCGACTAGAAAACCCACAAAAAATAACGGATCAAGTATTCGACCCATAAAATTGAGTATTTACCTCTAAAATACCCAATAAATTTATACTAGATCTGAGAAATTAAAGGATCGAGTAGTTCGAGTCAAGTATTTTTGAAAAACCTTAATAAAATGTCATTTCAAAAATTAATTAAGAAGAGGTTAGATTGAAAAATAAGTTTTGAAGATGTATTTTCGAAGTAAAAATCTATAGAATGGGTAGAAAAGGGAAAAAAGAAAAGTTAAATGCTAATAGATTAGAAAATATTGTTTTCATGCATAGCAGCACTTTTGCTATCATAAAGTACATACAGCCAATCCAAACGCAGAGGAGTTAAAGCGTGTAGAATTCGTCTACTCAACAAAAAAAATAGAAAAAACGAAAAAAAAGACAATAATTGTATGAAAAATACATGTACTAGTAGCAGTGCTACCGTGTAGTTGTATGAAAAAAAGTTATATAAGTAAGCCTTGAAATCATAATTCATTTTCCTACCACCATATTCCGTTTCATCTTTCCTCTGTAGATTCTCAAGTCTTAAATTGTGCATGAATCAACTCTTGTTTTGTTTTTGTAAGGGCAGTAAATCATATGTATTGTAGCTGTAAATCCCTGTTGATAGATCGCTACAGGTTGTGTTACAGGTGAAAAAACTTTAACACCTGACATTGTTTGATAATTATTCTCTTTCAGTGCTTAGCTACTAGCTAGTGTTTCATTGATTTGATTTCTAAATTTGGAATATTTGTTTATCTGGGCCCATTTCTTGTAATTGGAAAAATGAAAAGATTGTTATGTCTGGAGTTACAAGCTCAAGAATCTTGAGGGGGGGTTTCATTGATTCTTTTCTGTGGTTACTGTGAATACCCCCCCTTTTTATCTTCCTCATTTCTGGGTTTTCTAGATTTGACAGTGGGTCTCTCTCTATAGCTGGAATTAACGAGGAAGTAAGACCCACTTTTGGCCTAAAGGGGTTACTGTTTTTCCCTTATTCAGCTGGTAACAAGTCACTTCCTGATGGAGTTTGCTCCATGTATTTGGATTTGGTTTGAAAGTGGGGCATCTGCTCTGGGTGTTATGTTGCTGGGTAGCAGCATCTATGGTTTCCATGAACTGGTTCATTAATGGTGAATATAAGGGTGCCAAGGCGAGTCTCCTCGATGATAGTAGCAGCAAGATGTGGTTCAAATTCCCAAACTACAGCTTCAAGATCCACCATCAATACTATCAGTATGTGGGTTCCAAGAGAATCAGCAAGACTTGGTGGAGGAAACTCTTGTTTTCATGGGTGATTGTTTGGGTTTTGGCTTCTGTTTTCATCTTCCTTTATATGAGCTCTCAAGCTACTGAGAAGAGGAAGGAGACACTGGCTAGCATGTGTGACGAGAGAGCTAGGATGCTGCAGGATCAGTTTAATATAAGCATGAACCATATCCAGGCTATCTCCATTTTGATCTCAACTTTCCACCATGGCAAAAGTATCTCTGCTATTGATCAGGTAAGTTAGATGATTATCCATTTGTACCTAATCTGTTGCTACTGAAATCTAGATCAAATAAGATTCTTGTGAACTTGATAGCAAAACCAGGTCTGATTGTTTGTTCTTAGGAATTATGATATTTCTTCTGGTTAACCAAGGGAACTCACTTTAAGAACATGTAGAGAACTTTTGCGAAGTACGCCGAACGAACTGCTTTTGAGAGGCCCCTTACAAGTGGTGTGGCATATGCTGTGAGGGTGTTCCACTCGGAAAGGGAACAATTTGAGAAGCAACAGGGCTGGACTATTAAGAGGATGGATACTCTTGAACAAGATCCAGTTCATAAGGATGACTACAATCCCGACCTCTTCGAACCGTCACCAATTCAGGAAGAATATGCTCCTGTTATCTTTGCGCAGGATGTCGTATCACATGTGGTTTCTATTGATATGCTGTCGGGAAAGGTTGGTGCCTTATTTATTCTGAATGGTTCCTTGGATAGCTTGTATTGAACTTAACTGGACCGTGGAGTTAATTTTATGACTTTAATCATTTGGAAGACTATTAAGAATTTTCAATCTCTGAAGAGCTTTGGCCCTAGTTGAAGAAAGAATTTTGAGTTCGTTCATTATGATCTTTGGGTGTGAACCTTGAATTTCTTGTTTACCAACAGGAAGATAGCAAGAATGTATTGCGTGCGAGGAAATCGGGAAAAGGGGTGCTAACAGCTCCTTTTAGGTTACTAAAAACAAATCGTCTTGGAGTTATTTTGACATTTGCAGTCTACAAGAGGGGTCTTCCCTCAAATGCAACTCCTAATGAGAGGATTCAAGCAACTGATGGGTATGTTTTCAGTACGAACAAAAAAAAATAGGAATGTTCAATCAATATATCCTTGTTTTATGAAAATGAGTAGGAAGATGGATTTCTTAGCCTTCTCATCTCTTGAAATCAGGTATCTCGGTGGAGTGTTCGATATTGAGTCACTTGTGGAGAAATTACTACAACAGCTTGCGAGTAAACAAACTATCCTCGTGAATGTATTGGATACAACTAATCAGTCTTACCCTATAAGTATGTATGGCTCAAATGCTTCAGATGACGGCCTGGAGCACGTCAGCCACCTTAATTTCGGAGATCCTTTCAGAAAGCATGAGATGCGCTGCAGGTAGTGCATAGATCGTTGATTACCTTTAGATTTGGATTTCACCTTCTCCTCGATCTGGATCTCTATTGTTGGTTTTTGACCAGTATCGTTACCTGGCCTTTTGCAAGAGCATGACAGCCTTTATATATTGTTCACTGTTATTTACATTAATAAAGCACTTGAATTCGTGGACTGATTTTTTTGTTCCTATAGGTTTAAGCAAAAGCCACCATATCCATGGTTAGCAATAACCACTTCAATTGGCATCCTCATGATTGCATTACTTGTTGGCCATATATTCAGCGCAACTGTTAATCGAATTGCCAAGGTGGAAGATGACTGCCATAAGATGATGAAACTCAAAAAACAGGCCGAGGCAGCTGGTGTTGCCAAATCTCAGGTATATGACGTTTCATTCATACTCTTAAGCATTCTGATATGTTACAAACATTTGTTCCTAATTAATTGTAACCGTTCTGTAGTTCCTTGCAACTGTTTCCCATGAGATCAGAACCCCAATGAATGGTGTTCTAGGTGAGTCTAGAAGCTTTAATTTATTCCTACGAAGCTTATTTCTGTGCGTTGTATAATCATGCTCAAAAAATTAAATTAATATAACTTGTAGAGGATACCATTTTCTTAGCCATGAGCCAGGGGGACAATTTTTTCAGGAATGTTGCATATGCTTATGGACACGGATCTAGATGTTACACAACTAGATTATGTCAGAACTGCTCAAGCTAGTGGAAAGGCTCTGGTTACACTTATAAATGAGGTTTTGGATCAGGCTAAAATCGAATCTGGTAAGCTAGAGCTCGAGGAAGTGCGGTTTGATCTACGAGCAGTCTTGGATGATGTGTTGTCACTGTTTTCTGGGAAAGTTCAAGACAAAGGAGTAGAGGTAAGAAATCTGCATCACAATGACTCACCCTATCTGTCCGGCCCTTTCTTTCTTCTCTCTTGGACCCTTTATATGTTTTTCAGCCACGAGTCTAAGTGTCTAACATATATTCTATTTTTCAGTTGGCAGTTTACATTTCTGATCAAGTGCCCGAAGTGCTAACTGGTGATCCCGGGAGATTCAGACAAATCATCATCAATCTCATGGGGAACTCCATTAAAGTATGTTGTTGGTTCTCCTTTTAATGTATATAAAGTTGGTTACTAGAAGCTTCAGCTTGAGTTCAGTTTTATCTGAATTACGCTTAGTAGCAATAAGCTTATAATTTACTTATTTGGTGCAGTTCACGGAGAAAGGACACATCCTGGTCACAGTTCATCTTGTGGAAGAGGTGATTGGTTCGATAGAAGGCAAGACAGAATCTTCATCAAAGAACACCTTGAGTGGTTTTCCTGTTGCAGAAAGACGCCAGAGCTGGAAAGGATTTAGAACTTTCAGTCTAGAAGGATCCATGCATCCTTTCTCCGACAGCATTAATCTTATCGTGTCAGTTGAAGATACAGGAGAAGGGATCCCTTTAGAAGCACAGTCTGGTGTTTTCACCCCTTTTATGCAAGTTGACCCTTCTATTTTCCGGACACATGGCGGCACGGGTATTGGACTTAGCATAAGCAAGTGTTTGGTTAATCTGATGAAAGGAGAAATTGGTTTCGTTAGCATTCCGAAGATTGGGTCCACCTTTACATTTACTGCTGTTTTCACCAGCAGCTCCTCTAGTTCAAAGAAGAACAAGAGCCAGCAAATCAACATCTATTCTAACTCTGTTTCTTCCCAGTTTGATGGGATGAGAGCATTAGTTATGGATCCTCGGCCTGTCCGGGCCAAGGTGGCAAAATATCATATACAACGGCTAGGAATCGATGTTAAAATAGTTTGTAAATGGGAACAAGGTTTATTCTTCATAAGAAAGGGGAGTATAAACATGGTTCTCATCGAACAAGAAGTTTGGGATAAGGGTCTGAATGGTTCAGCTCACTTTTTCGATAACTTGGACAAGATGAATCGTGGTACTCCTCCAAAGGTATTTCTTCTGTCTAATTCTATAAGCTCTTCCAGAGCAAATACTACTACTACTGGTGTTCGTAACTTGACCGTGGTCCCAAAGCCCTTGAGGGCTAGCATGTTAGCCGCATCTCTACAACAAGCAATGGGTGATGGGAACAAAGGAAATCCATGTAATGGGGAGTTACCTCGAGCGCCTCTTCAAAACCTTCTTATTGGGAGAAATATTCTAATCGTAGATGACAATAATGTGAATCTAAAAGTAGCTGCTGGTGCATTGAAAAAATATGGAGCCGATGTGGTTACTGCTGCAAGAGGAATAAAAGCCATTGAACTGCTCACACCACCTCACCAGTTTGATGCCTGTTTCATGGATATCCAAATGCCAGAAATTGACGGGTATGTAATCCATTGTTGTATTTAGAACTTACCTTTGAAATTCTGATTCCGAAATTAAGTCTTGAAACCTTAGAAAATATGAGAAAAACAAAAACCTCTCTAGTTGGTGCAATGAGCATTGAAGAGTTCGCAATTGATTATATCCTGACCATCGGTATTTAACCCCAATAGCGTTTTCGTTCTACTTGTACAGGTTTGAAGCTACAAGGAGAATTCGGGAAATCGAAAAGAATATCAATAATCACATTCACTTTGGCGAAGTATCAGTGGAAGCTTATAACAATGTTTCAAACTGGCATGTAGCCATCTTAGCTATGACTGCAGATGTTATCCAGGCTACGCATGAGGAATGCCTAAGGTGTGGAATGGATGGATACGTATCAAAACCATTCGAAGCGGAGCAATTATACCGCGAAGTTTCACGTTTTTTTCAGTAAGCATCAGATCACAATCTTTCTGGAAGATTTCTGCTCATGACATGCCGATGGCATCAAAATATAGGACTGCCCCTGCTCCGACATTACTTCGGGATACCATAATAAATTCCGATTCTTTCGCAAGTAAGTTCCTTTAGTCTCACGAGGATCAAGTTTCTTCGCAAGCCTCTGAAAACGACGCGATTGGTCTCGAACCACTTTGTTTAATTTACCAGTATGTTGACATATTGCCATGCCTGATGTTTTTGCAGGGAAACATATGCTTCATTGCAGGAGTGTACATCAAAAACCTTTTGATATATTTTTTTGCTGGCAAAGTCCGAGTTCAAAGAATTGAGGATTTGCTTGCTATCCCAGCAATAGAAGAGGGGATCGTTCCTTTGTATATTTTAGCTGCAATAAAAATGCTAGACGTGGTATTTTTGTATTAGGGTTTTTTATAAAGAGATTGTTTAAACTAGGAATCCTTGTACGGTGACAACAATGTATCGGTTTGTGTGATTTTTATGGATTTACTGAGCCATGTAAATCTGTCTAGGTAACTGCTTTTATTATCAAATTATATAAAAAAGACAATATAATATACAAAGAAAATATCCATATGCATTTAAATATGGAAAATCATACGATATACAGTATATGAGTATGTAAAATAGAATATTTTTTTTAGAGGTTTTAAGTTCGAGTGATTGTATTAGAGAATATGTGCTGTCAATTGGTTAATTTTTTTAAACATATACTACCTTTTAATGATTCTAAATTATATAATTAATTTCCAAATCAATGTCATGCTTATATAAAAAAATGGTTGTTCTTTTTTCCCATATATATGGAGTAAGGGGGAGGTAAGATAGTAGGCTACCCCCAACACCAGATTGAGAGCAGTTTCCGTAAGAGATCTCCGAATTATGAAATACCTTCCGTGGGACTCGATCCCACGACCTCAAGGTTAAGAACCTTGTGCTCTACCAAATCAATGTCATGCTTATATGTATTGTAAAAATCTCTAGCAGAAGTTGGGCATTGTTTGTGGGTTAAGAGAGAGGTACTAGCGGCAGAAATTGTGAAAAACGAAATAATAAATCTTTCATATGCTTTAGCCAACAAGGTCGATATGTCCGAGTGGTTAAGGAGACAGACTTGAAATCTGTTGGGCTTTGCCCGCGCAGGTTCGAACCCTGCTGTCGACGATTTTGCTTTTCCTTTTATTTATTTATATATTTTTTGTTACTTCCCCCGAATTCACACGTCTAAGTTGGTGAGAGTCGGAGGGCCCAGTACTCGCAATTATAACTCTCACAAGTCACAAGGATAACGATAACGAAATGAGAATTGTATATGATTTATCTACGAGTATTATTATACAAATTTAAATATTATTTAAACTAAATTTAATTTTTAATTTTTAATTAAATATAAATTATGACTTTGAACAAAATTCAAATATCAAAATATTTGTTTACTCTATATAATAAAATTAGTAAAAAAAAAAGGGAAAAAAGAAATCGGTTGTTGGCGGCGTTGGAATGACGCAGAGAGGGATCTCTAGCCGATAGACGAAGAGAGTCTGAGCTCTACAGTATTTGATCAAAAATAAAGGGTAAATTATGCATTTAATACCTAAACTATTAGTTTTAATTTGTTTTAACATCTAAACTTTCAAAATCATTCTTAATATTTAGTTTTTGTTTCATTTTAGTACATGTTGTTAAAAACTTAATGGACGAGCTCGTTGGTTGCCACGTCTACATTCTCCAGTCATCGCATTTGTCGGTCGATGAAGCCCAAACTTTTCAGTACGCACCTTTTCGACCCCTGAACGTGATTCCAAACTCCGTTTTACAAGAAAATACATCAATCTCCCCAAATCGATGATTAAATCTTCGACTTCTTTATCATTCGAATCTGGCCTCCACTGTCAACTGTCTGATAGACATGAAATTAGACTATGTTGGTCAGCTCGTCATTTTCTCATGACCTTCCATTCCAATTGGTTGTATGTCCACCGGAGTTATACCTCGTCAGCCTGTCCATTAAGTTTTTAATGACGAAGTACTAAAATAAAATAAAAACTAAACGCTAGGTATGATTTTAAAAAATTAAAAGTTTAGGTATTAAAATAGATAAACACGTAATTTAGCCAGAAATAAAATAAAATAAAACGCTGGCAGAGCCAACTGTCGTTTGATTTTCATGATTCAAACTCAGCCGTTAAATCCATCCACCTTCGCTCGCCTAGATCATCGTTTCCCTTTCACTGCCGCGTCACAGTTCTTCTCGAAGCGACGGCTCAAGTTCTGGTGAAGAAAAGAGAATTTCGATGGATCCAGACGCTGTAACGAAGGCGTTCGTCGATCACTACTACTCGACATTCGATGCGAACCGAGCTGGTTTAGGAAATCTCCACCAGGAAGGTTCCATGTTGACCTTCGAAGGCCAAAAGATCCAAGGCTCTCAGAGCATTATCGCTAAGCTAACCAGCCTTCCTTTCCAGCAGTGCAAGCATAATTTCACCACTGTCGATTGTCAGCCATCCGGCGCCGGCGTGCTCGTATTCGTCTCTGGCACGCTACAACTGGCTGGCGAACAACATGCTATCAAGTTCAGCTAGGTAGCTCTATCTCTGCCTTTTTTTTGTAGGATTTATACGCTTTCTTCAGTGATGGATCGGAGTCTTATCTATTTGTCACTGTTGATTTCGTCGTTGATATCGATTGTGTTAATCTCGCGATTCGATTTCTTAGTAATCTATCTTTTAGGTTAGTTTTCTATCTGCTCTAAGCGTGGATTGAATCAATAGGATTTTTATTTAGTTGTCAGGATTTTAAGAATCGAATTAACGGTATTGCATGAATCAATGGTGATTGCTAGCGAGACAAACGGACGAGTCAGGTGCGGATACCCCTCGCCATCCCCACCTCTACGCTACCTAATATTTTCAAATCCACCGTCAGCCCACCACTCAGTTAAATTTTTTCAAATCCACACCTGTCACGCCTTTACATTTTCAAATTCATCCCCACACCCACTACCCAACTGTTGATATATCCGGCTAGACCCGCCTAACAACATATATCTTAATATTAAGATTTATAAATTAGTCTCTAAAATTATACTTAAATTCATAATAATCCAAAATTTAATGGGTATTTAGTGGGCGAGCGGATGTGGGGCGGGTAAGGTCTCAAACCCATCACCCGCCCGCTAACCAGGATGGGTACCACTTTCTAAATCCACACCCGCTCCAATTGGAGCGGGTACGGTGTGGAATCCACGATATTGTATCCGTTTGCCGTCCCTAGTGATTGCATCTTTTTATTTTATTTTGATAACTGAATTATGAAGTGAAACGATTATAAGATAATTGATTTGATGAACATTTTCGATTTCTTTAAACTATGTCATGATTGCATTTTGAAAGATATGGATGGATCCATGATCTTGTAAAAGAGCTTTCTATATCTTATTTTGCTATGATCTATGTGGTTCTGCATATTTACATTTTCTTATTCATTATTTGTCGTGATTAATTAGACTCTGTGGGCTTTTAACTCTTCCTATTCTCCTGCTTTAGGTTGCGAAGTAATTAATATCTGTAAGATTACTATAGACAGCAATCTAGAGCTTTCTTCAGTGCCCGATGTCTTCTTTCATCTTAGACAAGCCTTTGGATGTATATTTTAATCTTCTATGCTTGCCTAATTGCATTTTTCACTTAATAAATTGGTGTTGTGTTCTTTCATTGCATACTCTGAAAGGTTATCAAACATCACTTTGCCGTGTGCATCATATAAAAGAAACATCAGCAACACTTACCCAAACCCAGATGCATTGTTGACTTCCTCGTGGCTTATCCCTTGCTTTCTCGTAGAGCAAACTCATATAGTTTGATACGTATCTATGGTTAGCCGTTCTGTTTGATATTGAGTAATAAGAGCATGTGCTTACCTTCTTTTATAAAATTATGAAAATAATCTCTCTTTCTTAATGAAGCCCCTATACTTTTATCAAACCAAAGTAAGAACCTATCGTATGATTTTTGCCTAAATTCAAATGTGGGACTGATTTATGTCAAAGGATTCTTTAGTTATAATTTGAGGCTTAGGGTTTATTTGGATACAAGTTCCAAAGTTAAGGGCTCGTTTTTATCATTTAAACACTGCTAATGAACCACTGAATTGTTTATGATAATATTTTGACATCTTTTGGTTATCAGCTTTACTAACCTAGACATTTTGGCTTTTTGCTTTCTTCTCCCAGATGTTTCATTTGATGCCAACACCACAAGGAAGCTTCTATGTTTCGAATGACATATTCAGGTTAAACTACGCGTGAAGAGACACAATTCACTACGGTTAATCAAGCAATGGGAAAACAAAATCTCTCAAGGATTTATAAATCAATCTGGTTAGCCCTCCCTTTGGAAATATTTTTTTGGGTCTTGATTATGTTGGTATCATGTTCCATTATGGTTTTCATTTCCAGTCACCATATTTCTTTGAATCTTCTGTTGTGATTGGTTGAGTTGGTTAAGGACGATGTCGTATGAATTGGATGTTTTATCAAAGATCTTTCTTTTTTTAATCAAAGCTAATGGCTTTCTGAAACAGATTTTCAATCAATAAATCAGAGATATTTGCAGTTTGCGTATTTTGATTTCATAATTTACTCGTGGCGGATTTAGAAATTTAAAAATGAGGTCAAAATTTTAATATTTTTTCTTAAAAATAATGGGTGTGTAATTTTTTTTCCCTTAACATATTAAACTAAATTTCACATTTTTTTCCTAAGTAATGGTATGTACTTAGCTCCCTAGGGCTAGTGCTTAGTGCATCCGCCCTCATAATTTACTCTCTCTAGAGATTGACCCGATTATGCATTGCTTCTTTGGCTTGAAATTTTGGGGTGTTTGTAGCTCCATTTTGGTACTTTTTAAATACGGGTTTAAAGATGGATTTGTTCATTGGTATCAAAAAAACTTTGCCATGAAATTCTTCTATTACTCCATTTTGACTGTTTCCCCCTTGAAATCGGTGGTCAAAGTACTTCAAAATCAAATTTCAGGTACCAAAAGTGTATATTTACTAAAAAATTATTATATCCAATCAATATAGCAAGCAAACAAAATCACATTATTTCAGACTAAGGAGTTTACTTACAGTTCATCCTCCTAATTAAAAGTTATAACAGTAATGAAACTAAAATCCATGGCATTGCAATTACTTTTCTGTTTCATCAATGTAACATTCAAACAGATTATTAAATTGTGCTGATTCTCTTATGAGTGAACGCAGCTGCTTGCATGTATGCTTGCTTTCTTCTTCTAGTGTAATTTGTCACGGTAGCCATCCCGCCATGTAGTTATTCACACTCGGACCGGCATCGACGACCGATATCGGACCTGTCGGGTACCTGTGGGTAAAAGACGTAACCTATAGTTTATGTCTGCAATGTTTCAATACAGATCTGAGAGTAAATTCAAGAGGCCTCGCCCAATTTGTAATGTCGGTTCACACTCCAACGGGTTAAAGAAGCCGTCATCATGAAGATGGTGATGAGCAGGTTGTCGGCCGTAGCCGACACCCTCTGCATCATTTGGATTCAACTGGAGTGAATCTATTTGGTAGATTTCGATCAACTGTAAAAGAATCGATCCTCAATGAATATGGCGTTTCGAAACGAACCCGAATCGGAATCAAATTTCTTAAACTGAAAACTAAGTTGTGACAGATGGCATACCCTTTGTTTCAGGTTCCTATTGGCTTCATTGAGTAGTTGCTCCTACATTGATGAGATGTAAAGGGAAAATATTGCATTAGTCTAAGAAACGAGAAGAACTCGAGTTTGAAATTTAATTCATCTAAGTTTAGATGATACTTTGATGCATACCTTCCGTCGGTGATCAGCTAGCTGGTCCAGCATATATTGAGTCTATAAAAGAACAACGAATGATCCAATCTTCATTACAAACAACGTGAGAAACAAAATAGCATGTTCAATTTCCCCCCCCCCCACCCTAAACTTGCACATATACAAGTAGATTTTTGTTGGGTATAACCACTAGTATCTATATAAGCAAAGACAACCCTCCCAACCCAGTTTACTCCATTCGAAATGGCAATGATTCAAACTCTTGACCTTACTTAAGGGATCTAGTGTCTCATCCCACTAGACTAATTGGTTGTTGGTCAAACAGATCTTTGTTAATGTATAACAGACTACATTATTCAAAACCTTTATTTTTTAAAAATATTCGTGTAGGATAACATGCAAAAATAAATTTTTTAAATATATTCTAAATACATGATAAGGTTTAAAAATATTTAGTTATATCATGTCATATATATATATATAAAGTATTCAAATTCGAGTAATTTATTTTAAGGTTTAAAAATATTTTAAAATTTTAAGGTTTAAACAAAAATTAGTACTATTTTAAGAAAAGAATTACGTTTGGGGCTTGGATCTATATTATTTACGAGAAACCGATACTTTGTATCATAGAAGAATTCATTGAGTAGCCTCAATGTTAAAAAAAATGGTATATAATATGGGTTCGAACAATTACGTTTGTACAATACATACTATTTTAATAGTTAAGAAATATTATGAACAGTTAAATAATTTCCTTACATATATAACATGAATTCTTCTTCAAATGATCACGAATCATAATGAAATTTACTGACTACATACATTATGTGTATAATACTTAAAAGTTCAATGATAGTATTGGATCCAGAGGCAAACACGAGATTTTATATTAGGGACGAATTTAAACTTAAGGGAACAAACTTGAATTTATAAAATCTGAAAGAGGCGAAAATAAATTTTTTATTGCATCTGTATGGGATTATAATGACCATATCTAAACTTATGGTTATATATTTCCTTGGTATGAGACATTTAAGTATCACTATTATATCTGAAGTCGAATTAAACTTTAAAATAAGAATAAAATTCTTTTATGCAAGAGATGTTAAATCAATTTATTTAATAAATTATGATTTTTTTCGTTTGCACTATTTTAATTCTTTAAAGGTGAAGCTTATAATTATCTTTTAAACAAAGGGTAAATTATAAATTTATCACTCAATTTCTTTTTTATTCTTATTTTGGTCATTAAAATTTAAAATTTTCAATTTATTCATTAAACTTTTGTTTTGCTCCTATTTTGATCACTATGATGTTGATCATTAATGAAAGGGTAACATGGCATTGATGTGTGCAGATGTGGACTGATTTTATTGACATGGCATTATGCCATTTCCCCTTTGTTCTATTTTTTTTTTAAATCTTTTTCCCCAAAGATGAAGGTTTTATAAATTCATCTTTATCTCATGTTGATGTTGCAATTCCTACTCTCCGGCGTGTTTTCTGACAATTCAAGATATCGACGAACTTGTCTCATCATCTCCTGCTACTTTATTGATTTAGATTTTAAATCACTTTAAAACTCACGAAATCTAACCCTAAACCCAAACCTCATGAAACACTATACCATTCTAATCTATAATATTCATCGATCGATCAACATGAAATCAAGATTTACAATTCACTTCCTCCTTCATTTCCCCATCATTGAAATCTTGAAGAAGATTCTTCATCATCGAGAATCAAAAGAAATTCAAAACCAATGTTTTTCAAAAAAGAAATAAAGAACATTTTGGGGCTATGACATAATTTTTTAAAGAAAAATATACAATCATAATACTGTTAAATATTTAACAACGAAGTGACTAAAATATGGGCAAATAAAAATTTTAGTGAATAAATTATGAAAAATATTTCAATGACTAAAATAAAAACGAGAAGAAAGTTCAGTGTCAAAAATTGTAATTTACCCTTATGAATTATTCTTTGAATTCATCAACTGTGGGAACAAATCAAAAGTACATAATGTGGTTATAATAGAGGGTGTGAGTGGAAAAAGTTGAATGGTAAAGGGCAGTGAGTTGAAACCCCAAACCAGAAATGATGGCTAGACCCCAAAACTAACAAGTAATTGAGACTTAGTTGCACGAATCAAATGATCTCGATAGTATAAGAATTATTGTTATTTTTTTGGGACTTCTAGTTCAAGCACTAAGATTGTCAAAGGTGTAAACGTTTAATATAAAATGATTGAGAATTATTTTTAAACGAATATTATCTTGTTCTTACTTTAAATAAATAAATAAATAACTGTGACTTGGTTGAGGATTTATGAGCTTTCACTGTGAGTACAGGGGACCAAAGGTGCGCCGTTTGATTGAAATCTAACGGCCAAATATACAAGTAAAAAAAGTAGAGTTTCCCATGTTTTTCCCCAAAGTTGAATATCAAATGTAAGGTAACAACTATTGTCTCTGTCAAAGCTCCATGGTACCCTTCGCCTAACCATTTGCTTATCAAACTCGGTTCATGAGATCCATGAATGTCATCGGGACGTTAGTGAATCTATAAGGAACTCATAGTGACCGTATATTGTTCTGAACGTTGTCTTTGCAATGTTTACCTCTTTAACCTTTAGCTGGTAATACTCGGATCATAGATCTATCTTGGAGAAAACGCAGGTTCCTTTAAGCTGATCAAAGAGGTCATTGATTCTAGGAAGGGGATAACTGTTCTTGATTGTCAACTTATTTAATTGACGGTAGTCGATGTAGAACCTCATCAACTCGACCTCCTTTTTAACAAAGAGGATCGTCGCCCCCAAGAAAAATACTTGGCCGGATAAACCTCTTCTCGAGCAACTCTTGAAGTTGTGACTTCAACTCTATCGGTGATATGCGATAAGGAGTAATGGACACTGAATCGGACCCAAGTATTACTTCTATGCCATACTCTAGCTCTCGATCTGACGGTAAACACAGTAACTCTTATGGAAATACGTTTAGAAAGTATTTAACGGCTCAAATGTCCTCAATCCTAGGAACTGCAGTTATGGTATTGACTATGTGAACCAAGAAGGCTTCACAACCCTGATCCAACATTCATTGTACCTTAAGGGTCGACACAACCTTTGCACCTTTAGTTTTCTCGCCAAACATGATGATCCTAGTCCTATCCTCCTTCCAAAGTTTAAGCCGTCGAAGCTTACATCTCAAACTCGCATAGTACTCCGATAACCAGTCCATACCCAAAATCATATCAAATTCTCTTAAGGGCAGCTCCATAAGATTGACAGGGAAGGTTTCACCTTGAATTTCAACAGGGCATCTACGATGAATTTTATCTACTATGACATCTAACCCTAGAGGGTTAGACACTTGGACTCCTATCTTAAAGTTCTCAACTAGGATATTTCTTTCTTGGACTAGGTTAGCAAATATAAGACTGAGTAGATCCGAGGTCGATCAAAGAAGTAATCGGAAGGGAAAACACAGTAAAGGTACAATAAAGTTACATGAAATCATGTCAGTGATATCACAATCCTCTTACGCTCAGACTGCATACTGGCGAGCAACAACTCCAGGCTCAGTACTGGCCCCAGATCGGGTTGCACCCCTACCAAACGGACCGAATGAGGAACTCCCACCTCTCTGGGGGTCCTCTACCCCTCTGAATCGGTGGTGATGATCTTTGGGTCAAAGCTAAGGTCACCTCCTGTGCCTCAGGGTAATCTCTAACGAAATAGTTCAGGGAACCACAACGATAACAACCCCTGGACCCCTGTCGACAAACCCTAGAATGCCTCTTGTCGCAGGTGGGACAGTTAGGGTGAGACTGCGACCTCAAAGAACCTCCCGAACTCGCAACTGATGCAGTGGCCAATGGTCTCCTGCGTTGGCTTGATAGGCCACCACCTCTATTCGCACTATGAACAGATCTGCTAGACTGACTGATAACTCCGTAAAAAGGTCATATTTGAGACATTTTCACTTAAGTTATTGACTGTCTAAAAGCCCATTTAGGATCATATAGATGCATTTAGGAGCATATGGTTGCATGTGGTGAAATTATGTTTGTCGCGGCATTTTATTTTGTAATCAGTGCTGCATTATGGGAAAAGTGTTTTGTTTAATGATGGGAAGGATTTGGGAGCAAGGAAAAGCAAAAGGGAAATTCCATGACACAAGGAGACTGCTGAGCAGAATGCAAATGCCGAACCAGTTGGCATTTCGAGAACGATAAAAATGAAAGAAATATATTTTTAGTAAGAGCCAGCTGTCATGGCATAAAAAGTGATTTCTGCAATCAACATTAAAGGAGGGGCCAATTACCATCTTTGCACCAACTCTCACATAAAAGGAATGAACTTTAGGGTGCAAGTGTAATTTTAACACAAAACCCTAGGTTCATTCTCCCCTATAAATAGAAGATGAAGCCTGACTTTTTAAGGAGACTTTGAACTTTTAGACAGCCGCCAAGAGCCTAAAATTTTGGAGAAAAATATCTCTCTTTTTTTGTCAATCGTTTTTGTCGTGGTATTCCTCCACTGACAAGCTAGAGGGAGTAGCAAACTAGGCATCTGAGAAGAGCTAAATCGCTGGGATAGTTCGTGGTGGCCGAGGGAAGCTCCGGCAATGCACGTCGAAGGCTTTTTCTCATTCCCTTTGCTCTTTGCTTTCATATTTTATTAATTGGGTTGTAAGGAACGGATTAACTTGCTTTGTGCTTGTTTATTTTGAACCCCACCATGAACTAATCCTATTTGGTGGGAGTTTTGGATATTTAAGTTTTGCTATAATGAATGGTTGTTTTTCTATGTTATTATGTTTTGTTTATGAAGCTTAGTGTCTTAAGGTTATAGGAGCTATGAGAGTAGTCATTCCTTAGGTGATTACTTAGTGTTCGAGAGAATGTCTAAGTAGCACATCCTTAGTATTCGAGAGAAACTAGGGAGGAACCACATAAGCAAGAGGTTCTAGATAGTAACTAGGCCTAATCCACCTTAGAGATAAGGCTAGGATTTCATTCGACTAAAAGAAGTTGTGCATGAGCGATAGGTAATATGATAATAAATAAAGATGTCGTGG